CATTCGGTCCTCTACCCTCACAGGTACCCATTCATACTCCTGGGTAGAGCGAGGCAATTGTAGTTTAAGTGTCTTGCCCAAGGGCACAAACACCGTGTTCCTGGCAGGATTCGAACCCACGTACCATCGTACATGAGTCAAATACCGTAACCACTGGACCGTGGTATTCAAAATGAAGCACATCAGCCAGTTTTAAATTTTCACCTAAAAATAAATGAATATGAACAATTGATACTAGGGAGATAATAATTTCCTATCTTTCCATCATAGTGACAATAGAAAAAAAATCGCTTTCAAGTTTAAAGCATAACGATTAAGAGGGCAACAAGAAGTCAACACCTAATCCCGCAAACCCCCTCAGAGTGACCACCAGCAGAGTGCTTGGAATTCAATCTAAAATGACACAACAGCTGCAGTAAATGATATTAATTTGTAGTTTCTTTCATTGTAATGTGAGCCCTGACTCCTCTTGGCAATGACAGCTGTCTTTGTTGGCGTGGCTGTAACTGATATATTTGGGGATTTAGATGTAAGTAGGGCACAGAGAAACTGTCTGGCTTGATTCAACCTCATTATCAACCAGGGATTGTGGCCAAAGAGCAGTTGATTAGAGGTTGCTAACTGCAAAGTTTGTGACTAGGCCCAAAACCTATTTTTGATTTCACATTTATAGGTTTTTTTTTATTAAAAGGAAAAAATGTAATTGGACTAATTAAGACTGGTGATGTATAAGTAACTGCAGCAATATTATGAAACAAGGGATGGGGGTGCAAGGAAAGGGGAACTGAGAGGGGGAGAGGCAGGCCCCCCTCCCCCAAATTAACCCATGTGCCCCTCTTGCGGATATCAATGTGCCCCCTCTAGCATAAATGTTCCCCTCGCGCGATAAAAAAAAAACCGACCCTAAAATTTGGGATAATTTGTTTTTAGTAACCGTTTCACAAAATGGTATAGAGAGTTGTGATATGAATGAGGAATATGAAAACGAAGCCCCAAAATGCTTACAATGCACCCTGAAAATGGGCACATAGCAATGCGTAGTTTGCATAATGGACGGTTTTGAAGAGTGCCCCCTATTTTGGAAGATGATACCCCCCCCCCCCCCCCCAATTTTTGATTTTATGGAGGCAAAGTTTCCGGTGGAAAAAAAAAACATGTCAACATTTCAGTACTGGAATGCTGGAATACCCTGCTGCACCAATGAAAAATGCCTTTTAATGACCAAGTGCCCCTATTTGGTGATCCCCCCCCTCTCTGTTTGAAAACTGTTCCGCTGCGGCTGTGCAAGGGTGTTTTTGTTTTTATTAAATGTAGGTTTGGGGAGGGTTGGGGCGATCTCCAACTCTTTATGCCATGATTAGTATGAATTCCAATGCATCAACAGGACAATTGATGAATTGGTGATCAAACTTGAATTGGACATGCGCATACCTAAATATTAAATTAATTATCCCCAGGATTTCTTTTACTAGAGTGCAGCAAGCTATGTGCCTACCCACTAAAACTAGATGCATACTTGTTTTGGTATCAACTCAAGCTTGGCTGGCAAAGTACTGTGTCAACTGACTTTACCTGCCATATTTGTTTGGTATTTGTTAGAGATAAATAGGGGAGGGATTTTGGATTTTTCCTGAGTATAATTTAAGCTGGTTGAGCTCATTGGTAAATACGTGAACACTATTAATGTCCAGTCTTTGATGTCCTGTGTCCATTTGCTGTGGCATATGAAGAAAAAACCCTACATTATCTGATGAAGTCAGTGAATAACATTTACATGTGTACATTGCACATTGGATTAAATGCACTTGTCAATTAAGAGAAATGATAAGTAACTTGAATGTTCTGGCTCAAGTTTTGTTTTTGAGAAAGAAGTTGAGAGGCTGACATTTAAATACTACTGTCAACACAAGATGCCATTCTATGATACGTGTAATCATTCTTTCTGAAAGTTTGAAGTCCCAGTTTAAAAAAAAAAATACAAGCATGACATACATTTTCTGGAAAACTCTTAGAGTTGTACGGTATATTTTGATTTATCTTACAAATGAGAAATCCAATCTCGAGAAATTGAACCAATGGTATAAGAGTGCTTAATTATGACCTTAGATTTGAAGGTGCATCGGAAAAGAGATTTAAACAAATCTTGAAGGATATGTTTAAAAGGAATAGTGTGAAAGAGAAATGAAAAAAAAAATGATATAACAAGGGAGAGAAATGATTTGTTGAACGACTGGCTGATCTATTTGATCATTTCATGGACCAATATTTGCACCAAACTTTGTTTTTGGCTCTTTTAAAAAAAAAGTGAGACCCAAAATATCAATCAGTAGAATGGATAGAAGGTGTCTGTTTCTGGTACCGAGCAACACAATTAAATTAATAATAATAATGATAATTTAAATTTATAATGCGCCTTTTGCATATAAATGATCAAAAGTGCATTACAGAATCAACAATAAATGTAAAGTACATCATAATAAATCGAAAGACAGAAGCTACAAAACCATATAAAATTATCCTCGTGATCAAATTGAAAAATTGTATGACCCATCAAATCAAATGATCGGGACGGTCATCTCAGTCATTATTGAAACAAACAAATTCTATCCCTTCGGCAAGAAATTCTTGCTGTTCCCTCCACGGGATATATCATCTCACGATGCCCTAGTCAGCTAGATAGGTCAACTGAAAAAATACACCAGTCATGCTGCGAGAACAAGGCATTAGGAGCCAATTAGTGGCTTGCGTATCCCTTACCAGTGTTTTCATATAAATCATGTCATTGATACATGCACACGCCTGGATAGTCTGCCTTTTCGTTATCTGTCGGTAAACCAAGTTCACTTCGGTCCCAATGTTGTGGGTCAAATCAGAGCTGGACTTCCACTAGACTTCTATCTTTAGTCAGCTAGCACATGGAGCTATAAAACCCAGGAGCTCTCGGACTTGAGATACTCAAGAAGATTTGTCTTGTCATTTGGAGAATTTCTGTGCCCTTGTATCCCTGGTTTCATCATGGCTTGAAGCAACAGTTGCATAAAAAATCAGATGTGCTGTGCTCCAGGTAAGAATTTGGTTTAATAACACAAATTCTTCTCCAGGGACAGCTTAAAACCAAGCAGCCGAACTGGGTGCATGTTTTAATCTCAGAACTCTTCGTTTTATCCTGAAGATATTTTAATTCCTCTAAATCTCAGGAAAACTCTTACATGTATCTTAATTTTCTACTGTGACACCTTTTGGTTTGAAAGTTGTACTTTCTATTCTGTGCGTGAAATGTATTTTGTTTGTGGATCAGATTATAATCATAATTATAACTCCCCCCCCCCCTACTAAAGAAATCCTCGCAATGCAACTGGTTGTGTAGTACGTGAATGAGTAACTGTTCAACTATGGTCTTTTTGCCCCCCAAAAATCATGGATCAAATATAACTGTATTTTGCATGCCAACCAGAAAGGAACAAGCAGGCTGTTGTATATACGGTGTTAAATGTGGTTAGTTTGTGGTTAACCAATGAATCCATTTATATAAACAAACAAACAAACAAACAAACAGTTCTTCAGTTTGTGGTTTAACTTTTTATCAGGAATTAGTAACAGACTTCACTTAAATTAGTACCTTGTTAATCCAATCACAATGCAGTACTTAAATGTAAGACTTTTTTATAGGCTAGCAATAAGGGAGTTGATAGTCAGCTTATAGCCAAAATGTGTGAAAAATACATGTAGGTGTGGCTGTCAAAAGAGGTAGTATTAAATGGAACTTGCTGTTTCAGTCCTGGAATGGCTGAACTTCAAGTGGTTAATTAGGTCTGTTCATTGTCCGAAATTTGACTGCCATTCCAATTTAGACATTTTGTCCCAAGTAGAAGACATTTTCAGACATTCTTAAAATTCAAAGTGATAATTTGATCCCAATTAACCTCAAAACAAACAAAAATTGGTATCCTTTTTTTACCTGTGACTTTTTATTAACAAAAACCCCAAAGAAACTGGAAATTGGAAAACAATTTAATTAACACCAATATAATTCTTCCTCCATGAAACATACACAAGAAAACTTGAACAAGCAAACCACCTCTACAAACAACAACAAACAAATAACAAACATACACCCCCTCAAAACCCACCAGTCTTTACAACTCAGTTTGTAGTATTTTGACTTTTAGGGTACAATTTTACAGTACAATTAGTCAACTTGATAAACAAACCTAGTCATGCAGAAAAGTTAACGTTTCCTTCATGGCTATCAAATTTGCAATAATGCAAAGGCATATAGCTCGAGTAGTGCTCATGCATGGACAGGCCTTAATCCTTTGACCAATGGTGATTGAAACTTACATACATCAAATGTGTAGGCTGTGTTACTGGTAACACAGTTCTATTGAATATACTGGTAGATGTAGATGTATAGAAATTATTAACCAGGAACTTGGAGGATTACAAGAATTAACATTCCTTCACTAATTCTCATTGCCAAGCTAAATTCCTTATGTACTCAACTGTGGTAAATCATCAAACTTGTGTTAGGTATTTACATGGCTTAACAGTACAAGTTAGCTGCAAACCAATCATGGAGAACCAAGGTGTATAAGTCAAAAAGTCGGGTTGAAATATTGGTATATTGATGGACAGCACAAACCATATACTGGAATAGAAACTCTGATCCCAGGGTCAAACAAGCTCTTTGGTTTGTTTTGATGTGGTGTCCAACATAATCATTCCGCAAAACCAGTGAGTGTGAGTGAGCTATGTACAAATATCCAGTGGAGTGACTTGGTGCCCCCTTTTCAAGGCTTTCATCCCGCCCACCAAAAGAAAAAAAAACACCCCTTTGTCACAACAAAGGTCCAAACACCCAAATCTCAAAATAAGCCTGGTGGTATGCAGGATAGAACCAAGCTTGGCCTGATGCATTATGCACATGTGGGTGTATTATCCAGTGCAGTGATAGTTCATCAGTCCTGCCCCCAAGCACTCGTGTTAAAGAAAAAAAGTGTGCATTGATTGTTGTGTGAATATATGAAAGCTGTGGTATTTGACAAACTGCCAGAAACTTTCTCTGATTCTGGTTTTGGACTCAATAACTGTGCTGGAACACCTTAGAAATTCACCCATTTTTCTATGGATGTTTCAACTACCTCTCAGTTAGTTTATCTGAAGTACTTCTGAAGATTCCTGTGGACACTGAAACAAGAGGAACTGATTCTTGACAGTGTAACTCAGAGTTGATAAGCAATAGATGTGCATGCATTGCTTTCTGTAAACAACTGTACCGCTACAGATTGACCCAGCTTGTGTGACTGCATGATGAGCCAGGAGCTTTCAACAATTGGAGTGTGGATAAGCTCCCATTTTGACTCGGAGGGTTCTGCTTTTATCGCATTATCCATCAGCTACTTTCCTCCTGGACTGGGGAACCAGCACAATTGAGGAATAGTTTTCTTTTTAATCCGTGGATATTTCGCAGAGGTGATGGTTTTGCCCTACTTCCAGCATGTCTAGCAAGATGCTGAAAAGTTTTTCTAAGGTACGTGAACTGTGATTTATAAAGAGTCTTCTTATTGTAACAATTTGTCATTATTGTCAATATAAATCAGCAGCACAGTGGAGATTTCAAATGAACGGTACATGCGCAGTCAGGAATGGAGACAGTTGAGAAGGAATTTCATAGAATACTTAAAATAGTCCTTTCTTGTAAATTTTGGGAAAGAATGTCATGAATGTAGTGTGACTAGTGACTGTCCAGACACCACTTCATTGGTTGTGTCAGACTATGGATGGAGAGTCGAGTGTATTTCAAACAAAATTGGAAATGTTTCACAGTCCCTGGAGATTAATTTCTTTTCAATATTTCTGCAATGACTGACCTTCATTGAGATAATATATGATGAAAAAATTGGCGTCAGGAACATCTCAGGATGCAACATTCTTTCCAAATGTTGACATAAATCCTGTGGCGGCGCCAGACTCTAAACTTGGAAGGGGGGGGGGCAACAAAATATTTTTGGGGGCAGTCAAAATAAAATCTGAGGGATATCCAAAATCTAAAGGGAAGGTAAGGAAGAACCCAATAACTAAATGGTGACTAGAAGCCTGCAGTATGTGTACACGCGCGTGCCCATTGTCAATGGTCCGGCAGCCACTGGAGCAACTTTAAAGTATAGTCATTTTTATGAATGAGAAATGTATCAAACCGCAGAATGGTGTATAACAAATGTATAGCTATAAATGTACAAAGACGTTGGCTGCACACTACCGGTATGTACGACTATATAAATGCATACACGTGTGGCGTGTTTTATCTACCAAAGTACCAACGTTTATAATGCTTTCATCGGCCCAAAATGTGTCCACAGAACTGATGATTCACTCTCTATCCTTAACTTGTTATGAATCTTAACAGCGAAGAAAATAAACATAATTAATCTATTTGTAAATAAAGTGCAAGTGTTGAGGGAAAACTGGGGGGGGGGGGGGGGGACTAGCACCACCACCATGGCCACTGCAAAGAAAAGTAAAAATTGTAGGTCTACTATACACTACACGGCAACAGGTACCGTGGATCACAATGAATGAGAGACCTTATTTTTGAAGTGGTTCCTCATCCGTCAAGATTAGCGGATTAGTGAGTCTTAGGCCTGTCAGTTTCATAGACATTATATACATGGACTTCATGGGAAAGTTCACAGGGGTAGTGTCAGCCTGTTTCTCAGTGTTTAGGCATGCATTTGCAAACTGTAGTTGTAGGACTGTACTGATTTTTTTTCTTCTGAAAAATCCATTTGATCCTTTTTATAGCTCCATGATTAAACTGGCAGATTCAAGTCAGATATTTGTAAATCCCATGTGTAAGTTGCGTAGGCACTCAGATAGTAAATAGCCATGTAATTTCCCGAGTGATGTCTTGGTCCTTTTAAATTCATTGGGGTTGCACCTAACGTTTACACTAAAGAAAAGTTAAAAGTGATTATGCAAGGCCAATAGGCCATGCAGGTCAACCTTCAGCCTTTAGGCCAAGGCTGCAGACCTCATTTGCCCTGCCCCCCCCCCCCCCAAATGCAAAAAAAATGCCAAAATTTCTCTTCTCCTAGCCAACAAATTCTCACAAATTCCTCAAAGTAGAGACTATATCCTGGGTATTTCACCAGTTAATTACAACTCAGGTTTGTTTAAGTTGATTTTTTTTTATATCAACATTTTTCATCAGACAGTGAGACCAAGTGATCTACATTGAGGATAAAACATTGGCAAATATCTAGTCCAAAAATGTAGGAATCTCTATACTGTGTATGAAAGTAAAACATGCAATACAGGAAAATAGACTGGCACATGAAGCAACCAGTCCAACACCCCTTCAGTACTGCATCAATTAACTGTGTCAAAGGAAATATCTGTGTCCCATTCTCTATTTCTACAGATTTCCATAGTCATGCCACCAGACTACTGAAGGGTCAATCTTTTAAAAAAAGTGGACATGTACCAGTCTAGTCTTAGGCTTCAAATTGAAATCACTTCACTTCACTTTCAGGTGCAAAATGTTGCGGAAATGTCTCCTTTAAAATTGAATTGAGACCTCAAACTTGGCTGGTGAAATACTGAGGACCTTGTCTTTGCCTCACCAAAATTTGTGTGAGTCAAGTTGGCCTGATTTTGTTTTACATGTTTTTCAGCACTCAAAGTCCCAGTCTGGCAACTAGAGCTAATGTGCTTCCCGAAGCACGGATATCAGCCTAAATTGCCGTTTTATCGGTTTGTCTGAATCCTGACTCGCACTGACCACAAGCTGCGCTAAATGTGGCTGAGATTGGCAAAAGAATGTAAGAGAAAAAAACTATGAATATTTGACATTAAGACCGCAGAAACATTACAAGAAATAGCCGTAAAGACAACACATGAAACAGTAGTTAATGCCCGTAGATTAATCCATAAAAACACTCAAAAATTCACCACAGCAATAGTGTTATTTATTGGCCTCCGTACTCTTTAATCCACGGTGGAGTATCCGGCTGAACACATATCTTTACACAGGTAGCACTGCTGCTAAAACAGACCAACAGTATGCAGTATCAAGGACACATAGCAATTGTGTGCAAAGTCTGTGGAGAGTGGGGCACCGTATGTCACACAGCATCCACAGTATCGTGGTGGTTTGAAACCTTCCCAGAATTCCTATGTGTTTATATTGTTTTTTATGTGTGTTTGAAAAATGAAAAACTTGAAATAACTCAACAACAAAATAAGTCAGGAATATGAAATTTGAGAATTAGAGATAAAAAAATACACTGAACAGGGCTACAAAGATTTAAAATGTAAAACACCTTTTAATTTTTTTTCATAAAATGACCCCTACTGACCAATAGGTGACCACTGGCCAAATTCTGTGAACAACTTTTGTGAGGCTTGGTCTAAAGATACAACTGACCAAGTTTGACATCAATTGGGTCAAGACTGTGGGAGAAGAAGCATTTTGTAAATATTCATTAAATGACCTCTAGTGCCCCTTTAATGACCAATGGCCGGATTTTACGAACATGGCTAGGTAGGGCATGTGACAAGGTTTAATTTGGCCAAGTTTGTTTGAAATCGGCTGAATAGTTTAGGAGTTATGGCCATTTTTATATTGGTCACGTGACCGTTTGCCCGAAGAAAGAAAGAAAGAAAGAAAGAAAGAAAGAAAGAAAGAAAGAAAGAAAGAAACTGGACGATCACAGTATATCAGCGTGCTGCGCACGGCTGATATAAATATCCAACTATCTGAAAAGAGTCACCAGACAGTATTCTGCCTGCTGAGAGAATATGCTTAGCATGGTGAGAATGTATGGTGTACCTGTTTAGAGGACGAACACCAGATGTTTTTTTCCTGATATTTTTTGCAGTATGGAGAAGCAATTGACTGGTTGTTTTATGTGTCAAACCTTTTTAAGTTTGGGGACTCATTACAGAATCCAAAGTCTGTGACTATACCTGACAAACTTATTATTAGGGTCAAACTGGGACCTTGAGAGAATTATTATAACCTGCACTGCATTCACCATCCCTTGACTCGCCCCAGTGGGAGATTTTTGCAATGTATGGCATCAAGCACACTGGTCCTTTTCAATTGTTTACATCCTATATTTAGGAAACACAAACTCTTGACTCTTACAAATACTAATGTCTTTCAACAAGATCCTTTTATGCATATATATTTGTAAACAACCAACTACCTGAATCGTTACACAACCTTTTTCAATTTAATAGATCCATACATGATTAACATACTAGGTCCTCATCCAAATTACATACACCTCAAGTCAGAACAACTCTTTCTCAACATACCATTTCTTTCTCTGGACCAAAAAACTGGAATCACAGTCTATAACTTATTGCCCTTCAAGTACTCTTGCTTGGGGCAACACAAGTAGTTGTCTTTTAAACAGAATTCTTGTTCTACAGAAAAAAAGCCTTGCGAATTATAGACCGTGTAGACTTCAGGGCTCATTCTGATCCTTTATTCTTTAATCATAATACACTTAAAGTCACTGACATTTATTTTCTCCAGCTTGGAATGTTTATGCATCAGCTCGTTGCCCACGATTTACCTAATTCTTTTGAACGAATGTTTAAGACTAATTCTGTTATTCATCGTCATCATACCAGGCAGTCTAGGGATTTCCATATCCCATACATACGTACTGCTAAAGCTAAAAAGTTCATTCATTATCATGGCCCCAAATTCTGGAACTCATTAAATCAAACTCTTAGAATTGTCAGCAGTAGGCCTTTATTTAAGAAAAAGCTAAAGTCTCTGCTTATGGAAAGTTACAATAATGCTAAATTTTAGTTTTACTTATTATTTGCTGTGAACATATTCTTCTTATGATTTTCCATGTAGGTTCTGATTGTACTTGATTTGTTTTGTCTTGTCCTGTTTGTGTTGGTCCCTTGTCTCTGTATGTGCAACTTAAAGTGTATTTCATTGTTTAGTTAAAGGAACAAATGTAATTAATATATATTTCTTCTACACATAATGGACTTCTCCACTTGACAAGCTTGCTTTTTGGAGAAGCCCGCCGCTTAATCTTATCCGTTTATCTAAATTATTGTCTAAACCTTTTCCCTTTAAAATGATTAAGTTGAAATAAATATGAATGAATGAATATGAATGAATGAATACATTCAAATCTAAACTACAACATTCCTACTAAATTCTCAGAGTGCCTGATTCATTATCACGTTAAGTTGATTTAGCCGTTATTGAAATGTTGTTTATTGTCGTGTTTGCTTTGTTTAACTGTTAAGTATTTAACTATTGTTATTATTTGTAAATTCTATAATTAGTGTTGTTTGTCTTGTTTTGTCTGGTATTGTTGGGCACATCCACCACAAGCTCTGGTTATTTGGGATGATGCCTCCACAGAGTGGAAATAAATGTTTATTGAATTAAATTGAATTGAATTGCATGTGCGCATGTTTCAAAATGACGCAAACAATAGAAAAGAACCGGTTTGTTTTAGGTAAGAAAAACAATTTCTTCACCCTTTTTTT